CCTCTTGTTGGAAGTCCCCCCCCCAATGTAGCGGATTTCTTGGAGCGAGCTAAGAGCTACGCACACCTTATCGTAGAAGGTGGACTCTTAGAAGACGCCCAGGAACTAAGAAAAATTGAAACACGAATAGTGTCAGTTTTCGTCGTGGAAAAGCGTACGCGCAAAATTTGTCGCTCGACGAAAGACACAGTGATAAAATCACTGGAGTCCTTGGGGTTCAAGCCCCTCAGAGTTGTGAAAGGAGACGGCTTTTTCATGTGGGACGTATTGTTACCCACGCCGGAAAATTGCGTGGCAGCTTCGAGCAAGGACTTGATCACCAAAGATCTGATCCTGCGGACCGAGTACCTAGGCCGAAGAAGGACCAGGCTTCAATATATGAGTGATGTCCCCCCTCAGATTCTCGGGGAACATCTCGCGACCTTCCTGTCCCAATTCGGTGAATACTGGACGCATCTTGCGATAACCTGAGCGGGGGATGGAGTTTCGATATTCGTTTAGATCAAAAAGCCTTCCTCTCCATCCCCAACTGTCTGGTAGTAGGGAAAATGAAATTGCCGGTCATTGTGACCGGCCGTAAACCGGTATGCTGGAAGTGTGGAAAGACTGGTCACCTTTTATTTCCTGCCCAGAGAAGAAGGCCTCTTTAATTCAATCTCCCTCGTTGACCAGAATACCCCTCTTTCCGAGTTTTTGCCTACTGCCTCGTCTGTAATGGGCATGCCAGCATCTGGGACCGGTATGAAAAATCCTCCGGTTGGTCAAAAGACTACATTCTCCAAAGAGCCTTCGCCCACTGCTAGTGCAGTTGTGGAGAAGGGGAGGGGAATGGATATTTCTGCCAAGGCCAGAGGAATAGCCAGACAGCGGGTCCTCAGTCCCCTGTAGCCCCAAGGACGAAAGGCACTAACAGCCCCATTCTGGCAACATTAAAAGGGCGATACCCCGGCCTCTCAACTATCTTTCAAAGAAAAGCAAAAAAAAAGTACGACCCCATTTGAAAAACCGAAAAAATTAAGGAACTTAAAAAAATTAGATAATCAGCACAGTTCTTAATCCTAAAATCCAACTCCTTCCACGTCCTCTACCCGGTCCATCCCTCTCCTAAGAAACGACCTTCGCCCCAGATAACTCCTTCCAAATCGCTTCCCCATCCCCCTCTTTGATATATTCCAGCCCTTATTTTAGATAAATTTACATCCCCTTTAACACACCCACCCCTTCCCTGTTAAACATAAACACTCCGGCACACCTCTGCATACTCCCAGTCATTCCCCTGTTAAAAAGATGGATATGCCACCTCCCGCTACCAAAAGACAGATAAGCCCCTCAAAAGAGGTAAAAGAAAAAAAAGAAGGCACAGAATCTTTTTTACAACACAGGAGAAGATGTTTGCCGTATTTCCCCTGCCCAGGCCGAGAGAGCCAGGGATTATGGAAACTGCATTAAAGACCTTAGATAATTGCTCTCAATACGGCAGTTTGCGGATCAAGACATCGAGGTGCCTCAAAATTTCTCGCTTGCCCAAAGGGTTCTGACAGTGATCAGAACTGGACCTGGTGCTAAGCAGATTTGGGCAATGCTTGAAGAGGCCATCAGTTCTTGTAAAATGTCGTTGCCTATCGCAATCACTCAGGACGAGTATTTAAAAATTTTAAATCAATTTTGTGCAGGGAGTGTCCCAGTTTTAGTTCACCCCTCCCTATATAGAGCACTTAAATTGACCTTCCCCTGGGATATCGGCGGAATCTCCCAAGATGGTACCATCAAGACAGAGATGGGCCATGGGTCTATGGGAGAGGCGGTCGGTATCCTTACCCCGTCCATGTTCAAACCACTACTTCAAATGGATGGTCTTCACTATGGCTCTTTCTGGTTAGCTAGTTTAAATGTCCGGGGCCTGAGGTCCGAGTTCGCAGGGCGAGGCTCTCTCATGACCTTCAGCGCCTCGGGGTGAATCCTTTGTGTGCAAGAGACTCGGTTTTTCTTCTCATGACCGTGAGGACATACTGTCTAGAGGGTTCGCCCTTTATTCAGCATGTTTTGATGGTCATTCGAGGGGTGTCTCTTGGCTAGTGAGCAGGTCTTTGAAGGCTGCATGTACCCTTGTCTTCGCGGATCCGGCGGGCAGGCTTTGCGTGCTGGATGTTACCATAAAGGATAAGGTTCTACTTCTCATTGGGGTTTATGCGTCCAATAACCATGCCGAGCGGCCTGCTTTGTTTCGGCAGATCGCGCCGTACTTGACGACATCTCGTCGGGTAGTTTTAGCGGGGGATTGGAATGCCGTCCTTGACCCCGATATAGATCGTATAGGGCAAAAACACGGTAATAACAACCCGGACGTGAAACAATTTCGGGACTTTATCGATGAGTTTGATCTTGTCGATAAGTACCGGAATGAACACCCTCGGGAGGTAGCATGGACTTGGACAACTAGTGGCAACTCGGCTCCTGGGACGCTTGCGAGCTACCTCGAACGAGTCTTAGTTAGGAGAGTCGATGTAGGGCTCTTAGGGTGTCCAAGTTTCCATTACATAGTTTATACGGATCATAGGCTTGTCCGGGTCCGTGTAAACTTAGATAAGCCTAAGGTTAGATTGGCTGGTTACTGGAAATTTAACTGTTCACTATTTAGTGAGCAGGGTTTCCGGGACCAGCTGTTACTAATGATACAAAGGGAATTGACGGGGGCGGTTGTGGGAAACGCCTGGTGGGATAAATTAAAATCTAAAATTAGAACGTTTGCTGCCGATTTTAGTCGTCGACTCAATCTAGATAGATTAGCAGCGCAAACGGATTTAGAAAATAAAGTTGATCGGGCAGTGAAATCCCGTGTTAGTAGGGAAATAGCCTTAGCTAAGGCAGAGTTGTCCTCCTTGCTTATCAAGAAGGATCAAGCTCTGGTAGTTAGGGCTAGGTTAAAAAGAATGTCTTCTGAGGCGACGAATATGGCCGCTGAACTGCGTGCAGAGGAGAATCGGAACGCGTCTAGATGACATATAGCGTGCGTCACATTGCCGGATAAGCGGGCCGTGACTACAAACGCGGGCATATGCGAGGTCTTTCGGGATTACTTTCAGGATCTTTTCACCAGGGAGCCCGGTCTGAGCTCTGCTCAGTTCGACGCCTACTTAGCTGACTTTCCCTGCCTCGAGGCAGCTAAAGCGGCTAGGTGCGAGGGTCCCATTACAGAGTTGGAAATCTGGGAAGCGCTGAAGCAGGTTGGCCTGGATAAGTCTCCGGGAATAGATGGTCTTCCCTACGAAGTTTACTTGAGATTGTCACACGTTTTTGTTCCTTTGCTGGAACTGATTTTCAACCACGGATGAAGCAGGGGTCTATACCCCAACGCTTCACCAGGGGTGTGATCAAGTTGCTGCGTAAGGACAAGAGCGGTGGGGATGGGTTAGGGAACTTTCGCCCTTTAACCATGTTAAACACTGAGTTTTGGAGAAGATCTTAGCCAACCGTTTGCAACTTGTCCTGTCTAGTCTGATTGGCCCTGAACAGACTTGTGCTGTGAAGGGCAGGACTATTCAGGATAACCTTCATATGGTACGCTTGATCTTACAACAAGTCGACAGTGAAGCCGCGCTGATTAATTTAGATCAGTCCAAGGCCTTCGATAGGGTTGACCATCGGTTTCTGGAGGCTGTCCTTTCGGCGGCCGGTTTCGGAGCCGACTTTCGCTCCTGGATCCGACTTTTGTATGCGACCCCCGGTGCGCTGGTGGAAGTGAATGGGGTAAGATCGAAGCTTTTCGTATTGTCTCGCTCCATTCGTCAAGGTTGTTCGCTCTCGCCTTTGCTTTACGTTCTTACGTTGGAACCATTCCTTCGCAAGTTAAAGGCGAATCCTGTCCTGCGCGGAATTGCCCTGCCTGGGGCTTCCACCTCAGCCAGGTATTCTGACTATGCTGACGACGTTTCGGTTCTTGTGTCGAGCAGAGCCGAGATTGACGAAGTCAGCAAAGAGATCAGTGGGTATGAGATGGTGACAGGGGCCAAGATCAACCGCGATAAGTCTGTGGGCTTGCGGTTGGGTGCGTGGAAGGGAGTTTCCTCTGGACGGATGGGCCGATCAAGATACTCGGCGTCTGGTTCGGTCCTGATCTCCAGTTGGAAATGAATTGGTCGGAGGTACAAGGGAAGGCCGAGATCACGGTTAATCTGTGGTCTCGGAGGAGGCTTTCCTTGAAGAGGAGGGCGGAAGTATGTGTTTCACACATCTACCCGATTCGCCTTTACCGACTCTCTGTACTTCCACTCCCGTATACCAGACTAATACTATTAATAAGGATCTTTATCTCTTTCTTGTGGAGAGACAAGGCCCATATGGTATCTCGCGAGATCTGTTGCCTTCATCCATCTGAGGGCGGTCTGGGTATGCCTAGCATTGAGATTCGTCAACATATGCTTCGCATTACCTTTCTAGACCGAATGTGTCGCGGGCTATTTTCAGTTTGGTAGGATGGAGTCTGCGTGGTTGAGAATGAACTGGGGGTCTTGTGGTCTTGATACTATGTGTGGCATGGTGTTTCACAGGTTCGTTGTGTGTTGACGGTGATAGTAGTGATTGGTACTGACGTATTATCTCGTCGTAGCCATTGGCTGTAGGTATAATAGACCGATTGTTGAATATTTGGAAATAAAACCGCAGCGTTGTATATTTAGAAAAAGCTCGTGTCTGTTAAGGTTTGTGATGCTAGTTCAACTGATAATTTGTAATGCGTTAGGAAATCTGCTCCTAATATTGGCATTGAGACATCTGCGATAATAAAGGTCCATGTGAGTTCTCTTCTAAGACCTATGTCGAGTGTTAAAGTTCGTTCACCGTAAGTAGTGATAGGTGTGTCATTAGCGGCTTGCAACTTAAAAGATGTGTGCTTGGCTAGAATTTGTTTGTTGCAATTCTTTTGAGGCAGGACACTTATCTGAGCACCGGTATCGACTAAAAAATTTAACCCGCTCGTTCTGTCATGAATGTAGAAGAGACGATTAGTCTTTAAATGTCTGGCATCCAACGTCTCTACTGGGTGCCAGTGTGTCCGTTTCCCGCTTGATTACTCGGGAATGACTTCCTATATGAACAAGGTTGTCTACATTTCTTCGCGCGCGCGCCAAAGTTCTGGTACCAACAATTTGCGTGTTGATAACGATCTCGTCGTTGTTGATATTTATGCCGAGCCGTTTGTTGTGTTTCGTAGAATTATCACGTCGACTTGTATGTGATTTCTGTAAATCACGTAATTGTATAGATATTTCTTGCAGTTCCGAAGACAATTTTTGTATCTGTCGGTTAACATCTGGCACAAGGCCATCCACTGTCTCCGTTGCGGAAATGTGTCTTATCGGTGTAGTGTCGGCTACTTTATCTGCTATTGTTGCAAGTTTTTGAATATCCATGTCGTCTGCTAAAGCGGCTAAAATTCGTACTATGTCTGCTGATAGTTTATCTAGCCACATTTGGCGGAATACTGTGGTTGATATGTCGTTATCACCCAACAGTTGTTGCATTCGCCGTAGTAGTTGAGATGGTCTCGCATCTCCAATCGTAACGTTTAAAAGGTTTCGTATCTTCCTTTCTTCTGAAAAACCAGATCTGTGTAGTATTGCTTGTTTGAGAGTTTCGTATGGTTTTTCTATGGGTAAAGAGGTTAATAATATGTCGGCTACTTCAGCCGCTACCTCTGCAGGTAGTTTCTCCACCACTGCCGCGAATTTCGATTGTTGTGAGGTTATATGTCTGGCCTGGAATATCGCGTCCAGTTGTAAAAACCAGGTCTGCACATTTGAGTTAAAAACAGGCATTTCCAGTCTGATGGCCGTTTCTGTTATAGGAACTGAATCAGCCATTTATGATGTTGAATTTTCTTGTTTCTGTATTTTTGGTCTGCTGTTTCGAACACGTGACAATTTATTTTCTTCCCGCGCGTTTGGAATTACCACTAATTTGGTTTTGTTCGTTAGGATTATGGAATTTTTTTTTTTTTTTTTTTTTTTGACACGTCGGGTTATCCTATTTTGTTGATAGCGCTAAACATCGAACCTCGTGGTCAGTAATTTTGTTGTCGATGGTTTTACACTATATGAACGCCGGAGTCATCAATTTGTTATTGATGGCTAATTTTTTTTTTTTTTTTTTTTTTAAACGTCGTGGTCGTCAATTTTGTTTTTGGAACGTCGGGTTTACCAATTTTTGTTGGTGCTACGTCTGAGTCGCCAATTTTATTGCCGATGGGTTTTCTTTTGTATTTTTTATTTATGTGAACGTCGGGGTGATCAATTTTGTTGGTTTCGCACGTCGGTGGTCACTAATTTTGTTGGTGTGTGAACTCACGTCGTTGGGTCACCAATTTTGTTGGGGACGTGCAGAGTTGTTAATTATTTAAGAAAGAATCAGAAGGAATTTTCAGTTGGTTGCGTGTCTTGCTGCATCCTAAACAAATAAATAAATGAAATTCAAAATGTAATTGAAAACGAGACATATGCAATTTAGAAATCAATGCAACATTTATATACAATTTAATTTAACAATATACAGATTGGATAATCAGTGTGTGTCGTGTGGACGAAATGTGTATGTAATTGTTAGATTTGTGAATGTCTCTTTGTTGATATTGTTCGTTGATTCGCTGTCTTTTTGTTTGTGTCAATAATTGTAATTGTGAATTATAAGTGTCTTTTGAAAAGAGTTTTTTTAGAGTGATCTACCCTTAAACGTGGTTGATGTTTTCGTAATGTTTGTATGTTCGTTGATGTTTACTTATTTTAAAGTAGTGAGTTTAATTCACTGTACATAAGCAAAGTTGAGAAATGTGTTCACAGAGTTGATTAATGAATGATCGAATATGAGTCAGCGATGTATCTTCGTGCGCGGCAAAATTGTGGTTCGTAGTGGCGTGGAGTATATTGGAAAGTACTCTGCGAATTCGTGAGACTGACTGTCTGGGGCTGTCTACGTTTATTTTTATATCGTTTGAATTTCCAAAAGTGGCTCACTTGATTTTAGCGCAATTTCTGTTTTGCACGTGAACTTCAAGTGATTGACCAATGCGGTTGTTTGCTTCGTTTCTTGCCGTTTTTATTGGTTGAAGTTTTTTAGGTACGTAGGCGTACGATGTGGACTGTGCTTTTGTTAGGGTTGGAAAGGTAAGGATATTGGACGAGTCCACAAACTAATGTTTGAAAGGATGCCCTGTTTTTTTTAAATAGTATTACATCTACTGACCTGTGCACTTGAGAAAATTTAACATGCATCCCACTTTGTTGGAGAAATAACTATCTGATCTGGTGTGCTTCAGACTGCTTATCCACAGAGAGCAGTTATGTATTATGTCTCAGCAATGTTCTATTTAGCCCCTTTAAGTAATGCACATCCCTTCATTCAGATATGGTCCTTCAAGAAAATCTGAATTGTGGTTATTTTTTTTGGGATATTCAGTCTTTAGCTGTATAGGTATTCCCTCTCTCAATGAATAGTTGGTCAGTGCATTCTATGTATTTGCCAGCTATCTTCATTGTAACAACTTGTGTTAACCAGAGAGGTAAAAATACTCATTTCATTGACCAGACAAGTACTAACCACCTGATGACTTCTTGCATTAGCACAGAAGAAGAAACTGAAAGTTGTGGTTGGATTATTGATAATGTAATTGGTCTGCGATTTTCGCATTGTACACTTTTTCCCCTCAATGTGCCATTTTAGTTTGTTAGTATGTGTGAATATATATATATATATATATATATATATATATATATATATATATATAATAGCTACTAGGCCGGCTATCCAATCCCTATTGCAGATGCTTGCTCAGGCGCATTTGTGTGTTTACCCAACGCCCACAGAGCCCACCTGTGGTTTAGACTGCAACTATGCTAAGCAGATCTTAGTTACAGTTTCTGGGATTTGAACAAGGCCAGCATGCTCAAGCCCTTGGCCACGATAACTTGTGTCTTCCTGCTAGCACAGCTATCAATGGACCTGAAGAGTTCTGTCTACCCAATTTCACTCACAAGGCTTTGATCAACACATGGTATGGCTTTCAGGCACTTTCCAAAGGTGCCACATGCTGGAATTGACCTCAATCCAGTCCGGTAACATCAAGAAGTCTCCTTCCTGACAAATTGACCATGGTGAGATTCAAACCCAGGTCTTATGGTCAGAAAGTAAACGTTTTAACCACTCATCCATGTGTCCACAATATTATATATATATATATATATATATATATATAAACATGTTTTCATAAATTCAGCCAACAAGCCCTCTCTTTAAATTTTTACAGTTTGTTTATAATAGTCATATATCCAAATCAAATTTATGAAGCTGTTCAAAAATCATGTTGTGCATCTGTGCCATGTGGTAATTAATAAGTGTAGAAATATTCATTTGACCAACATTGAAGTACCACTGACACATCACATCCAACTTGAAATGATCATCCAGCTTCTTGAAGGCCCACAATCCAACAACTCACAAATGGCTCTAATTGAACAAAAGGAGCACAAGTTCATCTGCATGGCATTACAACTGTTTGTATCGTGTACAATACAACCATATCACAGAACCATATCACCATATAGAACCATATCACAGCATGTGTGACCATGCAAAGCTCAGTTACCAAACCTCTGGTATCTGAATAGCTGATAGCTGAAACATTTGAAAATTTTATCAGAATTTCTACTAGCATGCACATACTCTACTCAGGTCAAAATTAGCACCATTCTTCAGGATTTTTATAAGTATATTTGACTGAATTAACTCACCTATCCAAAAGCAAAGTATCATCATTATCATTATCATCATCAGTTCCATGACTGGGTGTGGTGGTAGGGTTGCTGCACAGCTGGGCATCTGCCTATCTTCTATATGTCTCAGTTACATACCAATGTCTGAGTCTCTGAAAATGATTTTCTATTCTACACAGTGATGTTGTCAGCCCATTTTTTCCTATATTTGCTTCTTCTTTTCCCTTGTAGTATTGCAGTGGAAAGATTTTTGGCTCATGATGAGTCTATATGAATTAAACTTTCTCTTCTAGATGGTGGACATGTGGTCTTTCAATGGGCCTATTTCTTGTCTGTGATGTATTGCAATGCAGTCTATGTATTTTGATAAAGATCCTGATTATGCTGACTAATCTAGCAGATCTGCATTAGAACTGGCCAGCTTTGCACCTGGTTTGCATGATTATGAAAGATTATAAAAAAGACTGAAATTATAGAATTATTTTTTTTTTATTTTCTATTTGTTTGGTTCAACCATTACTATTTTCAAATTTAAAGTTAGTGTTTCATTTTGAAAGTTACTGTTCTCAAATTGAAAGTGACTATACCATTTTGAAAGTTACTATTCTCAAATTGAAAGTGAAAAGGTATAGTCCACCACCAGATTCCAGTCAGTCTTTTGCATCTAGTATCATCTTTTCTCTACATGCTTTGACGTTGTAGTGGAGAGCAAATGCCTTTCTTATTGTCTCAAACATATCTGCTTTTGCAACAACCATTTCTTTTATATTAAAACTCTTCTCAACTTGACATGATGTCTTTGCATTTGTAATAAGTTTAGATAGAGAAAGTTGCTAAGGAAATTAAAATGGATGAGATAGAGCCCAATTATCTATGAGAAGTTGTTTGGATGAATGGAGGGAGAATACCTTCCTTAGTCCCTTCACTTAAAGTGGCAGACACAATAAGACATTTCACAAAGAATTGGTTGGAAGCTTTGGAGAAGGTCAAAGTTTTTACCATCATGAGCTTTCAAAAACCCTTCCTTAAAGAAAATGTTATTTTCACCTATACATGACCCTCAGTACCTCCTCTGTGAACCATTTATCTAGTGTAACTAGAAAGAGCATAGTTTAAATTCATAAGGCTTCAGAGCTCTAATATTGCACTGAAGAATTTGTTGTCATTAATCTTCTGACAGCAGATTAGGAATATTGAGACTTGAGTCCTAAGAGGAAACACTTTACAGTTACATTTTTTAACTAGAAATACTAATGGCTAATTTTTGAAAGTGGATGACAGAAAAGCCTTCTTTGATTTGAAGAACATGCACTGAGTGAGAAGACTGCTGAAGATCCTGTAATGTATATCCTGTTTATATAATCTGAAATATTTTTCCTCAATGCAACCCAATCATTGTTAAGTAATGTGCTACAAGGAAAAGGACCATCTGAGACAATTTGGTTATCAGCTCAGCTTGACAAAGAAGTGTCAATGTGAACATGATTGATGTCTCAACAACAAAGTATCATACACTGGTTAGTGATCAAAAATGCTCTCTCAGCTAGAAAGAGATGTTATAAAGATTATTTTAATAAAAATGATAATATTACAATTATATAAGAAAAAACATAATTAAAATATAGAAATTGTGTAAAAATGAATGTAGAAATTATTTTAATAAAAAGTTAATATTGAACTGTATTAAAAATTAAGAAAACGTTACTAACACAGTTTCTTTTTAAAAGAAACTGCCAAAATGAAGCCAAATGGCTTATATGTGTAAAAACAAAAACATGAATGAAAATTGATGTGCAAAGATTTGAAGAAAAAAATAGGCTTATAAAAACCTGCCAAAATGAAGCTAGGTGGTTGAAACTTTTCATAGCAATACTTTTACAATATCCCAATTTTGATGTTTTCAAAAACCAATCAAATTTGAATTGAAAATGGGTGCAGTATGTTTGGATAGTGACTCTTGATTTTTTAAATAATGGGGATAAAAAGTATAGGTCACCAAAGGAACTGGTTTATGAGTCAGTTTTGATCCATGTATTTGTTATATAAGAGGGTAA